GAGAGTGTGTGTGTGTGTGTGTGTGTGTGTGTGTGTGTGTGTGTGTGTGTGTGTAATAGTATACATAAGATCCTCTCTTCCAGCTTTTTCCCTCCACAGTCCTATTGGATAGATCAAGCAGATGAATACAGGTAGAATATTCCTATTATATATTATGGGGAGGGAAGCTTTCAGTGCTCGAAGGATCAGATCCACTCCTCAATTCATCCTGAAGAAAACTGAGTGTTTCACCCTCTATTTGATGGTAAGAATTGCTGATGTTCTCAACTACAGTAAAGCATGGAATCAGAATATAAAATGCAGTCTCAATATATTTGTCAAAAAGTTAATGGCAAAATAGTCTTCCTCGATTTGAGGGAAATAAGCAACTCTAGAGCTAGTTATAATTAGAACAGACAGACTTAAATATTGATTAAAAGGATTATGAAAGAGTAAAAGGGGGGTATTTTCATATTGTTGAAAAATGTATCTATCTGGTTCAGTTCCAAGCTGGGAGAACGGCACTGGAGACAAAATGGAGGCTGATTGAAAAGAGGGTTTAATGATGGAGAACCACATGGGCTCTGGGCAGCTGACCACATGGAGTTGGGTGGGGGTTATACCTTCTCTTGGGCTTTGCACTTGAGCTTCCTGTTCCTGTGCAAGAACATGTGTTCTATTGCCTGTTGTCAGACTCGCATGGGGCCATGTAGGGGTCATATCTGGCTCTATAGGCAAACTCTAGGTGTTTGCCTGAGCTACGTTTGGTTGACGTTTGGACTACTGATGCAATGAAGGGCAATTCCTACTGTGGCTGAGGGCTAATCCTATTTTATTTTTTGCTGCAGGGAATTTCAAAATATCCTGTCTTGAATAGATTTCTGCCTACAGTATTTGCTTTGCCGATGAATAGAGCTACCTGTCTCTTTATCTCTTAAGTGCTGACATCTGCTGTGGGCTGCTTTCTCCCTCTAAAAAACATGTTTCTCAATTTCTCCTGTAGGGAAATATAATATTCTGCCTTTTTTAATATTTCTCAAAATATTTCATTCTTCTAAGGAGAAGGTGGGTGCTAACTTTCTTCAATATGGGGCAGGCAGTATAGGTCTGGAAATAGGGTGCCCCCTCCAGTGGTGGGATTCATTTTTTTTTACTACTGATTCTGTGGACGTGGTTTGATGGGTTTGGTGTAACTTGGTGGGCATGGCAGGGGCTAATATACTATAAAATCTCTATTTCCTCCCCACTCCAGGGGAAGGTTACTGCAAAATCCCCATTTCCTCCTGATCAACTGGGACTTGGAAGGCAGAGAATCGATGGTTCGACTTATATACCGCTTCATAGGGCTTTCAGCCCTCTCTAATCGGTTTACAGGGTCAGCATATTGCCCCCACAGTCTGGGTCCTCATTTTACCCACCTCGGAAGGATGGAAGGCTGAGTCAACTCTGAGCCGGTGAGATTTGAACCGCCGAACTGCAACTAGCAGTCAGCTGAAGTGGCTGCAGTACTGCACTCTAACCACTGCGCCACCTCGGCTCTTTTAACTAAATTTTGTATTCAGTTTTTAGCAATAGCAATAGCAATAGCAA